TTCAATTGGTTTGAAATATAGACTAACATTTATCTTGGCTACATTAACAAGATCTGTTTTACCAATACATTTATATTTATGATGGCTAAGGGCAGATTATAGCTGTTAAAGTTGGTCCTCCTGACATGAAAACACTACTTTGTCATTAATATATTTTCTAGTATAAACTGTGATGTCAGGTCAATGGAAAGGGTGAAAACTTTCCTAAAGTATGCACACATTGCTTTTTCCCCCCTCTAAGCAATTGAGCCCTAATGGAATAACAAAAGGTCATAATAACAAACCATTACAGCTTTGGTCTTGGCAACTGGGCCCACAAAAGAATCTCTAAGAAACAGTCATCATTCCTCCAATGTTATGGCATGAGGATGACAGGAACGGTACACAGATGTGAACACAGCATGGCGGTAGCTATGTGAAAGCTGAGCGATCAATTAGCCTGTTGTGTACTGAAAGCTTTCCCAAGTGATGCTAACCAGAGCTTCAAGAAAGAAAGAGTATATCCCAGCGGTTGCCATGGACAGAGCATGCGCCCAGACTAACAAAATATTTTATTCAATCTATTTTGAATGATCCAGCAAAGGAGAAATGGTGGGTTTGCAAGACGCTTTGAGGGTTCTTTGGCCATTCCCTTCTGAATAATAAATCATATTTCCACCTCTTCCTTTTTGTGTGTTCACAGGTGCCTTCTCTCCTTTCCTTCTCTTCATAGTGGTTACTCAACTAAGTTTGCACCAATGCTCAAGATGTACACTGTCATGATCGATTCCTAAGGTAACAGTCCTCATTATGTTTCATCCTCATTATGTCTCCTGAATCCACTGGGTCTTACTCCCTCAGATGCTTTGGAGCACCAGATACTATCCTATGGGAGGCTTGTTTCGGACCACAAACAATCACCAGCCAGTGTGACCATAGCATGCTTGTTATCTCAGTGACAGTGACAGAAGGAAGATTCTAGGAGTTGTAGTCCAAAAATGTCTGTTGTTTACATTCAGGATTCTACAGACAAAGACTTCTTTGGTCATCTTGGTGGATGACCACGCTGGGAACTGGACAGGAAGAGTGTGTCCTTGTTCGTTCTGCTGGACCTTTCTGCAGATTTCAATACCATCGACCACGATATCCTTCTGGGCCGACTCTCTGAGATGGGATATAGAGGCATTGTTTTACAGTGGCTCCAGTCCTTCCTGGAGGGGAGAACCCAGCAGGTGGTACTGGGGGACTCCTGTTTGACACCCTTTGGCCTGTGGTGTCCCTCGGGGATCTGTTTTGTCCCCTATGCCAAACCTCTGGTCCACGACCAGGACCGGGCCGCAAATCTCCTGCCCCCCCACAAGCACTGCTCCCTGCGAGTGTGCCACGTCCCTGTGCTCATGGTCCCTGCCCCCCAACTGGTCCACGGTTGGAAAAAGGTTGGGGACCACTGCCCTATGATATTTGACATCTACATGAAACCACTGGGAGAGGTCATCCGGAGTTTTGGGGTTCAGGGTCACCAGTTCACTGATGACACACAACCATCTGTCTCTTTTCCAGCTAAATCCAAGGGAGCGGTCTTGGTTCTAAACCAATGTCTGGTGTCAGTGATGGACTTGAGGAGGACAAATAAACTGAAATTTAATCCAGACAAGACAGAAGTGTTCCTAGTCAGTAGAAAACCAGATCAAGGAATAGGGTTGCAGCCTGTGCTGGATGAGGCTACACTCCCTCTGAAAATACAGGCGCACAGCTTGGAGGGTGTTCCCGGAGTCATCTCTGTGCCTGGGTTTCAGTGTTGGCCAGGAGTACCTTTGCACAGTTAAAACTAGAGTGCCAGCTGTGTCCATTTTTGAGAGGTCTGATCTGGCCACAGAGACACATGCCCTAGTTACATCTCGGTTGGATTAATGTAACATACCCTATATGGGACTCTCTTTGAAAAGTATTTGGAAACTTCAAAGGGTCCAAACTGTTCTCACCAGATTGTTAACTGGAGCTGGTTACATGGAACATATAACTCCTGCTACAGCAGCTCCACTGGCTACCAATCTGTTTCAAGGCACAATTCAAAGTGCTGGTTTTAACTTACGAAGTCCTAAACAGCTTGGGTTCAAGCTATCTAAAAGATTGGATCTTCTTCTATGAGCCTGCCCAGGCATTAAGCTCATCAGGAGAGGCCTTTCTCTTAGTCCCACCACACTCACAGGTGCATTTGGTGAGGACACAGGAGAGGGCCTTCTCTGTAGCTGCTCCTAGACTCTGGAACTCCCTCCCACAAGAAGCTACGCTGGCCCCATCTTTGCTGTCCTTCCACAGACAGGCAAAGACCTTTCCCTTCAGGCAGGCTTTTCCTTAAGGACTGGTGGTCTGAGAGGGGTTTTAAATGGATTGTTATGCTTTTTTGTTTTAAATATGTTTTAATATTGATCTTAGTTACCTTTTTAATACTTGTTTAATTCTTTTTTTAATATTTGTATACTTACTGTTTTTAGCTCTTAAATACTGTTTTGATAATGTAAGCTTGTTTGGGTCCTTTTGGAGGGAAAAGCAGGATTAAATAAACAAACAAACAAACAAACAAACAAACAAACAAACAAACAAACAAACAAAAACTCAAAAATAAGTCCCACTGAGTTTAATAGTATTTATTCCTAGGGAAGTAGATAAAGGGCTGCACTCTAAGGATACTTAGGTAAACATAGGTTGAAGCTTAGTCCCAGGGAGAGAGGGCTTATGGAAATGAATAATTCTTGTTATACTTCTCTATAAGTCCCATTTATTTCAAGGGTCTATTCTAGCTAGGACTGAAACTCATTTTAGCCTGTTAACTCTTGTGGGTAACTAGGCATGAAATACAGATGTCTTACTTTCAAAGTAAAAGATTGCTGGGTGAAGCTTAATTTAGCAGAAGTTCTTCATTCCATTAATTAATGTACTATATAGGTTCGTTCTGCTTAGCATTCCATTCCATTTGCTTCCCAATTCAACTTGGATAATTTCTAAAATTAATTCTGGTATGATGCATGACCATTTTTTCAGTTTCATTTGCATTTTTTTCCATTGCCTGCTGACAGAGTAGCTCAGGGTTTGTGTCAATTAATTTCAGGGCTGAATGCACATATGAACTTAGTATTTCCCAATACTTTGACCACTATACCACACTCTGTGTGTGTGTTTTGAGAGAAGCAGTACTGGCAACCCATAAAACTAATCTACCTTCCTAGCTGTTGAGTGAAAACAATGACATAGGCAGTTTGCAGGAAAAATTGACCTTCAACATTTGGCCCCTTTTACTTAATGATGGTAAGAGTGCAAATATTGCATTTGGTTAATTAGGGTGAGCAACTCTGGAAGATATGAAGGACAATTTTACACCCCAAAACTTGCACCAACCTCCCAAATGAGCAAAAATGGGAAAATGCCAAAACTGAGTATTTGAGGGCGGGGTGTACTTCTCGTTATTTTCCTTTCAATGGGAGCTGCACTATATTTTATTACAAAACAAATGCTCCTGGAAGCTCACAGGAATGGAAAGAGACATTTTATTTCCTTTTTCTTTCTTTCTAGCTGAGCATGCTGAGGAAGCACAGATATGACAAGGGGAGTGTCATGTTGCCCACTCCTGCATGAGGTCAGAAAGGATGACTCCCACATGAGTGGATATACTGTAGTTACTTTATTTATTGAGCATGCTTACTAGAGAGTAACCCTCACTGAACTCAAGAGTAATGCCTAAGGGTTTACTTTTTGGTACACTTGCTTAGGTTTGAAGTGTAAGACACAATATGTCTTGATGTGGTATATAATAGAGAAATCAACTATTTTAAAAGTCAAATGAAAACATATCAAAATGTGACTATTAATTAAACCCAAATGACCATGGGGACGGATCACCTGTTTAGCAAACAGACCGTATTACCAAGCCCTGTATCTAGCTCTCAACGATTCGTCATAGAAAATCAAAGTACCCCACTTGGCCTTGAAGACACATGGCCTTTCCAGTCATTGGAAGTACTGTACAGTTGGAAAATTGCTTTCAGACTGAAGTTCAAATTCAGTTCCAAAGAAGCTCTAGGAGGAATGCTATCAGTGATGGGCAAAAACAAAAGGGTGGGGGCATAAATACTAGCATGTTTCAGCTTAAAGCGCTCGTGGCAAGCAACTAAACCTTAGGACACTTTGTAAAAGAGAAACTCATTTAAGAAACTGCTACATCACGAAATACTAGCACCATGGGGAAGGAACCATAGCCATCTAGGGAACCCAAGACAGCCTTACTGGGACCCTAAGAAGATTGGATTCAGTCCCAGGGCTTCATGTCTCCTCCCTCCCATCTAAAACTTTAGCCTGGATATGCTTGATATAGTTCACTATGATCTGACAAGAAGGAACGATTTATGTCTATATTTTATTTTAAATGTACATTGCTTTTCCAAAGGAGAGGCTCAAGGTGATTTACAACAATAAAGAGTTCAAAATAAAATGCAGTAATAAAAACATGTTGGAACTGAGGTTAACACCAGGCATCTGAAAAATGTTTTCTGGCTCACAAGAGCCTTTACCAAAATGAATGTGCCAGTCAGTCCTCAAAGTACCACAGGACTCCTTGTTGTTGTTTTCCATATAGTTTTAGATGTAGTTGTATATTTTTGTATTTCTGCTAAGCTTCACTTCAGTTTTAGATCCTTGTACTAAGAAATTGTCTGCTAACATTATATACGTACGTGTAAGATTAGCATAAGAAGATTTTTGTGTAAACAATGTGAAATTAAATCTAGTAGACAGTATAGGTGCAAACTAGCCCAATTCAGCTCTTAGATATGATCCTTGTATCTGCCTAATAGGAATGCTCCCGCACTAGACCCTGCAACATAACCAGAACTCTACTAACATGAGGCCAACAGAAAGGAAGGAAGAACAAAATGCAACCCCATTTAAAAGAACTACTGGGTAGCTCAGGGGTTTAAGCAATGAGCTGCAGAGCCAGAGGTTGGGAGTTCGATTCCCCACTGTGCCTTCTTGATAGGCAACTGGACTTGATGATCCACAGGGTCTCTACCAGCTCTGCAGTTCGAAAACTTTTAAAATTCTGAAAACATGGTTTCTGTCCCAATGCAAGCAAAGCCAAATATTTTTTTAATGCAAGCACCAGGAATGGTGTATCTTTTTTTCCTCCTTGCTGGAAGACATTAATGAAGTCTAGCAAGGTTTTCTATTTGGTGGATCAAAGACCTCTTGAGACATGCTGAGTGATTCTCCCAGTAATCCATCTTATTTCTGCCTACTCTCTGACATCAAAAAGGTAAGAGATGTATAGAAAGAAAAGAGATGCATTAATCTGCACCTCTGAAATTAGTGGGCCTTTAAAATACCAAGTTCTATCTTGATGGTGCCCTCTGATAATTTAGTATTATAGCTATAGTACATGATAAACATTGTTTTAAAATATGTGATTGTCCCAACATTGAGCCCTTCACCTTCCTAATATTCAATTATCTTATATACTGGGTCTCCAACTTTGACGGTTCCGATCTTATCGACACCAAAAAAGCTCCCAAACAAGGGAGCTGATTTGTGAATATGATTCAGAGCAGGATCACACATACGGTATCTGCAAAGAACAAAGGAGCTTCGTTAATGAATTTATGGCAAGAAGCTTATTTCAGCAGGTATGTTTAAAAAGGTGAACTATTTATTTCTCTTTTTTCTCTCCTACTCTTTGTCTTTCTGGTATTCATTGAGATGTTCTGGATAAAATAATAGACTAGGACCCTGGAAATCTGAGTTTGAATCCTCACTTGGCCATAGAAACTCAGTGGGAGAACAGAACTGGTAATACCACTCCTTAAAGACCTCTTACTTTGAAAGCCCTTTGCTATAGGATGGTTCCAACTTGACTTTACATATCTAAACCATTATCTAGGATCTCTAGCAGAAGGATTCAGGTAGCAGAGGTTGGGAAATTTATGTGCCTAAGACTCTGGAGACTTGCTAACAATTTGACTTCTTACAAAGCACCCTCCAATGAGTTCACAGTGAGATCCACTGTCTACTCTTTTGTTATCTCTGTGAGTTCAGTTACAATGAGATCTAAGGACTGCACAACTGTCACTCAGTAAACATTTACTGTATAATCAGATGGGAATTTGAACATTGGTTTCCTCAAGCTAGACTCAGCACTCCAGCATCAGTTCTGTGATGACCTCATGGTTCACCTTCTTGAGTTTTGTAATATGTGTTAGAATGGGAGGTGGATGAATTAAAATGGGGTTTTGCTTTTGTATGTTTATTATTTCAATATCATTATTATATTTATGTTACTTTCTTGGAAAATATGGGTGAGGCATAAGTGGAAGGGAGGGAGGGAGGGAGGGAGAAAGAAAGAAAGAAAAAGAAAGAAAGAAAGAAAGAAAGAAAGAAAGAAAGAAAGAAAGAAAGAAAGAAAGAAAGAAAAAGAAAGAAAGAAA